TTTGAATGTGATTATTACTATTTCACAAGTGTTGGTACTGTAATAGCTTTCGTGAACCTTGTCGAAATTGTTGTTTTGAACCTTAGTAGAGTGTTAAATGTTACATATACACACACACCAGACAGACAGACAGACAGAGAGACAGACAGACAGACAGACCAGACAGACGAACAGACATACATACATGCACATACATACATACATACACAGACAGACGGACAGAGAGACATACATACAGACAGACAGACAGCATACAGAACGTACGGTATGCATACATACGCTTATATACATACTTGTACACACATTATGTCTACATATCATTATACTGACATTGCTATTTTTTAGAACATCTTTGTTGCGTGGAGGAATTTCGAGAAGGTGCTGGTTTCTGAAATTACATGTCCCAGTTATTTCAGCGTTACACTATATGCTGTACTCTATGTAACGAACATACCCGTAATTTGATGAACAGTTTACTTTAAATATGGAGGAATCCCTGATGCGGTCTAATATTCATAGCCAATGATTTTGTAGTTTAGGTTCTGGAAGGAATGATAACAACGAACCGATATCAACATACTCCTACTCAGGATAGTATTTGTTGAACATCAAAGTAAGTCAAAGGGTTTAGAGTACACCTCCTAACGAGAGACTCCACCTGGAACAATGACCAATTGTTCCCAGTTTCTATTTGTACAGGTATGGATGCTTTAATACAGCCAGGAGGTGTCGTTTCACGGGCAGGAAGAGATGCGACGTTATACTTCCAGTGTGTTGTGGTGTAGTTGGAGAACCTCGTTTTGTCCCCATTTCGAGGAATGAGGGTAAATCCAGCATAAGAGTACGTTGCCTGAGTCACTCAAGGTGCTCGAGCTGGCTTGGAAGGCGGTCATGTATGTGTAATCTGACTGATATTGTGTGTGTATAGACTTTTCAGACTGTTCAAGAGAAGGGTGATTTAATGGAAGCTAAATGGATTAATCCAAAGGATATAAATACATCGTCAGGAGATTAAACACCAGGGACATCAGGATGATGTTACCGCTTTTCTTTTTTATACTTAGGCGACCTTTCCTCAGGCCATTTTTATATATTGGATTATGTCTCTGTGGGAAATAAGCAGCCCTGGTTCCTCAAACATAAATGCTTTATCAGTGATATGCTTCATTATATCTGTACCATGTAGGCGTATTACTCAGTTTTCATGGGGAGGTCGGGGAGATCATGCTTAACACGGTTGCTCAAATTACTTCCGTGTACAGGTTTCGAGACTGGATGGGACCTTACCTGTGAGATTTGATAAATGACACACCCAAATCAGATATAAAATGATGTACCAGGATAATTGTAGATCCTAAACAGCGAATTGTTGTCTTAATCGTTTGAGTTAGATTAGATATTCACGGTGAATACTTCCCACGTAACAATACGTATAGGTATTTCATTTCCTAAGTAGTGATAATAGGGTGGCATTCATAATTTCAGATTTCGGCGGTAAAATGCATTAAAACATTTTATAAATGAGTATATGCCATTCCTTTGCATGAAAAGAGTATACCCATGTTCCTAGAATTTTAGATTTTTCACAATGGGAATCAAATATTGAATTTCTTGTTCACGAAAAGTAATATCACCCTTATTCTTTCGTAATATTGTATACAATGTCATTATTCCACTTATAAAATTAAAGGCATATAAAAGATTATTCAATTACAACTTGTAACCAAGCAATGTTGCTTTTCTTTTTATGGACTAGCGACGGTAAAGTCATGCTCGCGATTGTCAGCTGTATTTGCTGTATCCAAATGTAACAAACATATAACATGTGAAATGTGTGCATGGCCATAATCTTCGCTCCTGATTCCAGCCAACGTCGGGAATCACATGCCTCTATCCGTCCCATCCTATCCCAGTAGGCCTAAACTTTTGTGCCTGTAACCCTGAACCCCAAAACTTTGGCGCTTTTGTATCCATGCACACGTACATCCAGTCGAGAGACGTTTACATGGGTTTGATGGCTGGTGCCATAATGCCGTTATCTCTTTTTCTCGAGACAAGCCGAAGGTCGGGATCGGTGCCGTGGAGGTTTACACCAGCAACATGTTGCTTTTGCTGTCATACATATTTCTCCTGATACACCATGGTAAAGACACAATATCTGTATGGTTGAAGCGTGTTTTATAAATTCAATCTTCATTGAATGCTTAATCGCTGCTATTATCACTCACAATGCCATGTAATGAGTACTCGATACATTGTTTCACCGCAGCACTTTCCATAAACATATACCAATTGAAGGGTCGCTGTAAATTGCTTCTGCCAGTTATCGGTTGATGTAGTTCGGCTAACAACCGCGCGTTTCCTTTGTGCCAGCGTAGGCTATGGCAATCGCTTTAATGTCTATGCATTTGACATTTCCGAGCAAAGGCTCCATCGGGGTTTTATCAGGTGTATGGTGATTTGGGTGCCTTCGCTTCTTGATAGCAGATTGCATTGTTACATAATTCGACACAGTTCAGGGAAAGAGACCGGTAGCGTTGGTCCTGTGGTATTGTGTAATCGCTGACTTCTATCATGATAGAAATGCCGGTGGATTTAAAGCGTACGTTCGAAACAAAACCGACAGGCCAGGTTCGATTGAGCTTCCACGTTGGTACAATATGTGGGCCATCCTGAGTGTCCCCCGCCGTAATAGCCTGTAATATTTAACTAAAAGCAGTGCTTATGACCCAGCTAACTCCTCCTCTTATGTTGAAGGTGACGGTACAACTCACGACAACCCGAAGGAAGGCTGTGTGAACTGCTCAGCGCAGACCAGTGGTCGAATGTGCAAACTTCATGTCAGCAGCTTGTATGGGTCTGACTGTAGATGGAACTGCCGAGGAAACTGTTTGAAAGGACGGTGTGCCCTACTGGCCAATGGTCAAACCGTCAACTGTACGGCAGGAGGGTGTGTTTAAGTGGAGGGGTTAACATATAGTACTTCATGTATAGCGTCCGTGTCTGGAATATGACAGATACACGAGAGATTGTGTGGGACAAATGCAGGGATGGTTTCCTGTGGACCTGAGTGTTTACAGCGATGTCCATATCCATTTTCAACGTAACAAAAAGTTGTGTAACGCCGAGGAAACTGAAAATGACTGATGCATTGGGGAGACACATGGTAGTAACAAAAGAAGGTAAAGGGAGTTTACAAGAACACCAACGGAAACGAACCGTATGTATATGTAATGGTATATGAATTTAATGTACCATAATTAAATATGTAGTTCCATAATCCGCAATGCCCTGTTCTTCGATGATTACATTCGAAATAAACTAGTGCAGAAAAGAAATAAACGCCTTGTTTGACCAAACTTGAAAAGAAACATTTGTAAATGAACATCTGTAAAATTTCAATAGAGTATTCAATTCTACAGCAAAGGTACAACGATTTCGATTTCATAAAGTCGAAAGTACCATTTGACTGACACCGAAAGACTACGGTATCATAGTTTAAACTTTTTACACAAAGCAACAAGGCGTTTTTTTTGCAAACTGTCATGAAATGTTGAATCATTAGTGAGAGTGTGACCACCACGCGGCTTCACTACGCCAAACACGCCGACAACATTGATGATGTAAGACGACGAATGACGTGATCCGTTACCATTCCTGTTGGAGACATTGTTCCAGTTGTTGAAAGCGGTGACAGATGTGTCTTGTGGTCCTTCAGGTTTGTCGATCCAGATAGTCCCAACAGTGTTTTATGAGTTTCATGTCGGAAACATGCTGACCAGGATTGTTAGCGTTGTGCAGAAAGTCGTTTTGTCAGTTATGCATGCTGCACGAGGCCTTGCGTTATCGTGTTGGTAGATAGAAACGGGATAACGCAACATAACTGGTCGCAAACTTCATCCCCTGTATCTTCGAGGATTCAGGTTTGCCAAAGAATAATCACAAGTCTCGTTTTGAGATTGCCATAGATCCCCCCCACACCATCACAACCGGCTCCAAACGGTCGGACTTGCTGAACGGTGAATACCACACGTCGTAAATCACGCATCTGCTAACATCGAACTCGCCAGGCCCATGTCAATGGACGACGTCGTTTTGAAGAGTCAGATGCACTCCGCGGTAGTGTCGACGTTTTCGAAAACCATGTTCTCTTAGTCGCCAGTACGGTTTCTAGTGCCGTTGATGCCGTTGACGTCACCGTTACAAAACGATTTCTCAGATGAATTGTCCAGTATGTGATGATCATCACTGGAACGTTGTCACACGTGGTCGACAACACCTTGGCCTGTCTCACGACGTATTGCCTAACTGTGTTTTAGTTGTTGCATCGGTCTGATGACGGTTGCTCGGGTGCAGCCACAGGTTCTGGCAATGACGGTGTGGTTAGCTCGCTTGTTGGGTGCATTCCGACAACAACTCTCTCTCTCTTACAATTTGCCTCAAACGTGGCACATTTTGTTCTTTTTGACTACTGTATTGCTCACGTGTCGCGTAGGCTTTTTTGATACCGTCGTGTTACATGTATGGTTTATCATTTCATTTTTATTTTTGTGAATCTTTATGTAATAATTTGTGGTGTATGGTTTCTTTTGAGCTCTGGTTTATATTGAGCCCGAATATCCTAAACAAATCTCCCTTTCTGAGAATATAAAGAAATATACAACAGTCTCAGATAATGTCATCTTTCTACAGGTTTGAACGCGAATCCTTGCACGGAGAAATTTGGCAACAATTGCATTAAATGCAATCAATGCTGTGAATGCCTGGAGGGGTATTATGGAAGCACGTGTAGTCAGAAGTGCATTGGAAACTGCCAGTTTGACTGTGATATCCAAACGGGTCTCTGCAGAACATGTAAAGATGGCTTCTCTGCAGACAACTAACCTGTTCAGTTCTGTGTTCGAAGACATGTTTAGGGAAGCTTGTGAAAGATCAACTGGGGCTTGTAATGATGGCTGCAGAAAGGGACATTGTTCTGCTAACACTGGATGTGACAAAGGCTTGCAATGCCAATTGTCAAACAACTGTCACTTTGAAACATGCTCGTGCTTACCGTCATCTTCACCCGAGACTGCGTCCGCAACAGCCAGTTCCCCTAAGCAAGGTTGGTTGGTTTGTTTGTTGTTTAACGCCCCACTCAGCAATATTATAGCTACATGTATATGGCGGCAGTCTGTAAATAATCGAGTCTGATCAATCTAGTGATCGATAGCATTATCATCGATCTACATATTTGGGATACGATGACATATGTCAACCAAGTCAGGGAGCCTGACCACCCGATCCCGTTAGCCACCATTCCGACAAGCATAGGTTACTGAAAATCAATTCTAACTCGGATCTTCACGGGTCCATAAGCAAGGACAAAGTCAGGTTAAATGTAAGTGCTTAGACGACTGAAGAAAGCACATATATAGCACATTACGTTAATATAGGTGAGTGCAGATATTTAAGTACTCTATATGACGATTCTACACATTTTAATTAGGCCAAATGATAATGTTGTGTCACTAAAACAATAAATTGATTTGTCGTATGATATTTTTAAAATTGTTACCATATCATAGTTTCAACATTCTGCTCATTAAATAAAAATGGATGAAAGGTTTTGGTAAAACGGGTGTGTTGTGTCTTATATATGATACGTATCTACTATGGACACAAACTCTAGCGGGTTCAGCTTCTCGTGAAAGACAAATATACTGATAAGGACACGTTTTACCTCAGAGGATATGCTTAATTTTTTAAATGAGAAAACATTTCCAAACCATTATGAAAGTTATCTGATGTTTGTCCCACATGAAAAACAATTGGGCTCGTTGTTCATATTAACAATGGTATGTTTGACAACATAAAATATAAAGGCTAGACACATTATGGATAATGAGTAACAACGGTGGAAGTCGCAAACGCGTTCTTAAAACAATATTGTAGGTCTCGGAACAATTCTTATAACATGAGAAAATTTATGACCAGAACGCATTTTCCAATAACATAAAGTTAAAACAGAATGCACACAGCGGGATAGAGATATAACAGAATGCACATACGGTGAGGGTATAATCTTGAGTCTAAGATTGGACATACTTATCTGTTGTGTATGTGTCAGAGAGATCAAAAGTTGTAAGTGTCAGAAGCAAACCCGAATGTATTTATTCAGTTCAGACAGTCTGTAAATAATCGTGTCTGGTTGCTTTACGGGCCAGTTTTGTTAATATTTATGAGCATCGTTCCTGATGTTTGCTTGTTTATTCAATGAATATTATGTTAGATTTTAGATATCTAAATATTCTCTCAACTTTACCTTTGAGTAACATTGATACATTTACCATTGTCTAGATTCACTTAGAAATTGGAGAGCATACTTGATCGGCTCCATTTTTCAACACGGTGTACCTGGCCATCTTCATCGTATACGGCTATGAAAAGAAATGGTGGACTTCACTAAACTGTTTCTGGTGAGTTGTTTTTTAATAAACAAACGTTTTTAAAACCAAATCGGATAAAAATGGGATGCATTACAGACTGGAGGAAAGGACCCTGTCTATGACGAAGTTGGTCTTGTAGTCTCAATATTCTGTTGTCTGTTTTATGACATGTTCTCTTATGGCTTGGTGCCGCTTGAGCATCGCGAGCATGGTCCTGTGCCCTATTTCAGTTCTGCGATGTGGCAAGGATAACCTCAGATTTGTAGTGGATTTATTTCTCTATATTCTTGGACCTTGGTACTACTGTCTCATGACTCTCCAAAATATAAGTTACTTAACAAACTATCATCATTTTTTGTTGTGATTTTCCCTGTGGAGTTTTATGAGGGTAAAGTAACAGTAAACTGATGCAGTAACAGCCCCAAGGGCGGGAAGCACGTGGTGATAGTTTGTTAAGTAACTTTTTTAATTTTTTGGAGACAAACGTTATTGAAACTTTTCCAGAGTTGGTCTGGTGTTTTCATTACATTCCGTGTTGAACATTTTGAGAAACAATTTATACAGGATGCTCACCAAAATCAGTTGTTGTTTTTGGGGAGGAAAGTGGAGAATGAAACAGTTTATGAAAAAGTAAAGTTGTTGACAATATGTCAGTGAATCAAACATAACATGAGAAAGCTTAATGAACATGCTACCACCATAATCATTGTCACAACCTTCTGAGGTGATAGTCCAGAATACTAGCTATATCCTACAGACACATGGAAGTGTTATCTTTTGTCATGTGCGTCATCAAGGGGCAAAGTCTACTGTCACTTTAGCTATCATGACTGTCCCACTCCACTCGTGGGTGTTTTCTACCCTAACGCCCTACTTCACTTTCTAATAACTGGCTGTCTAACAACTATCCGTCAAACAAAAGGGAGATAACCGATGCATGACACTGATGCATGCCACCCCATTTGCATAGATCGAATCACATTGCTGAGTTGCGACAAACAGCATATTCTAAATGATATTAAAATTTGGTAGAATCCTCTTATAGTCTAAGACATAGAGTTTATACACATTTGCCACATGCGGTATTTCATTTCAGCCAAAAAAAGCCAGGGAGCGAATCAAGTGAACCAGATCAAGGTAAGGATATGTTTTTCTCTTTGGTTTCCGTTAGATATGTGTCTGCTCACTGAAGCAAATATTAATTTCTTTTTACGCCTTGAAAACAAAAGGCTCACAAGACTTAAAAATAAAAGAATTCTTTAAATGGCATAAAGTTGCCAATGTATGACCATCAAGGTATTTGTATTGGTTCGATAGCTCGATCAGTGCTAATATACATGTACCTGCCTTCTTGTTATGTAGTTACCCGTATAAATTGACTGCTTTAAGTATTGTTGAGTTATCAAATTTCAATTTGGCAAGTCCGTTACACATTAACGATGTCAGCATATTTTTCTCATGCATATTTATATATTTTCAGCAGTAGATCCCTTGTCCGGCAGGACATCGCATCAGGTAATATCGGTGCACATAGTTCTATGTTACTTTCTTAAGCGACTATTGACATTCTCCAGGAAACAAATATGGTGCATACTAATGTGTCTTATAAAAGTCATTGAACCTACACTGTCTAAGTAAACTTAGGCTCAGTATTATTCGTTACACTGATATACTGAGTCTAACAAAAGCCCTAGTAGAAGGTCGCGTCAGCTAACCTTTGGGCTTACCAAATCGCGAAAGTTAACATTCGCACATACCGATTGAACCTTTACCTAAAAACTCGAACCATTCCGAATGCTGTTTTCCGCACGATCGCTTCTGAGTGATACACGCAATGAGTAAACAGTGGCTGAAAATAGCGTCTTTGTCAATGTTCAAGGATGTCATCTTTCGAAAATATTAGCAAATAGTAACCATGTAATTAGAAACCCATCTGTGTTTTATGCGGATTTTCGTTTGTTGATAGATCAGTGTCAGCGACCAGGGAAGAGAAAATCCCAAACCGTTTGTCTGATTGGTTAATCCGTTCGGCCGTCTCGCGTTTGATTGGACGGTCATAGGTCGCTCAAAGGTTAGCTGACGCGACCTTCTACTAGGTTTTGTTAGACTCAGTGTAGCAGTGTAACGAATAATACTGAGCTTAAGTTTACTCAGACTGAGAACCGACACATCACATTCTAAGATATAGATAGAAATGACAAAAAAATATAATATGTGATTATAAGATGTCAATATCAACGCTGAAACTACTCCCACGCATATGAACACAGGTACCATCAAATTTGTCAAGTTGTATTCTCCCACACTTGACCATCTCACTCACTATCGCCCCAAACTGATGAGTAAAGCAGGCGTCGTTAAAAGCATTCGCCTGGACGCTTGTGGATCATCAGAGGCGTCCATTCAAAACCAGGGTCCAGAATACTGTCCCAGTCTATGAAGGTCACATGGAAACAGAATTGGACATATCGCTGGACGCCGTGGGCGGATGTTATGTTTCAATATATCTGATAGGGGCGGTGGGATTGCCTAGTGGTTGCTCGTCACGCCGAAGATCCGGTTTCGATTCGCCACTTGGGTACAATATGTGAAACCCATTTCTGGTGTCCCCCGCCGTGATATTGCTGTAATATTGCTAAAAGCGGTGTAAAACTCAACTCGCTCACTTACTCCAATATCTGGTTGTGTACGGTTCCGCCATTCATGCCCCATAGCCAGGAATCCTGTGAGGTGTTGAACATAATTGTCTTGTAGGAGGGACGCAAGTGACAGACAGTCCCATGGCAAGTTATGTGTTCTGTCCTGCTGCAGATACCACATCCAAAGAGAACATAATAATTACCATTGTTCCTATTTGAGCAGTGGAGGTTTGTGGCATAAAGCCATCAAAACTAATGTGTCTATAAGCACCTGAAAGCTAAACAGTAATTGTGTACATTTCACATTTTACAAGCTACCGACAATATGTACGTGCAGGTTGTAAATTACGACCTTGAAGTAGTGGATATGTCTTTATGAATGTGTATTTTAATTTCATAACAATTTTCTATTTAAGTCTTTATAAGTTAGGTTACATGTTTTGTTGGTACACATGCATAGTGCTGTATTACATTTTTGTCTTGTATTTGGTGTAAGACGTTGTTACGTGTATATCTGAACCAATTCACTATTGTACATTTTATCGAGGACAACGACAAGTTAGGATTACAACTTACATGAGATTGCAATTATCGGATATTTAACATTCCGACTTATTGCATTCATTTCAGACTGCCGGGGACAGTAGGAGAGAAGACGAGGCGAACACAGATTCAAGAACCACAAAGAAACGCTGTTGCAACACTGTGCTATTAGCATTATGTGTATTTTGTTATGTCTTGCTGAATACTATTCTGTCTTTAATAATGTATTTCTACATGTAAGGCAATTCATATGTAACACTATGTATGCACTCTTGTAGTTTTGTAAAATAAATATAATGAAACCCCTCTCTTCATCCCCACGATAGGATGTTAGTGAACAATTTCGACTATATAAGGAACGCGGGGCGCGGTGGGCGAGCTGGCTAAGGCGCCAAGCTAGTGATCCAGCGAGCTTGAGGTGACGGGATCGAGCCCACCTGTGACCGGGTGTAAAAACCTTGGAGTCAACTTTGTGTGCAGGCTCTTTCAGTGTTGTCACAACCCCTAGTGTACAGTACACAATCCTGTGCACTTGAAAGAACCCACGAATCCGTTGGTATATGACCAGATGGTGGCCACATGAATACGTGCAAACACCTAGTTCCGGGTACAGCAACGTGCAACTTGGATACAGCAACTTGGATAAGTACTGTGACTATGTGTCCTAGTCCACCCAGCTGTGAATGGGTACTTCGTTAGGATGAGAAAGCCACAATAACTCGGTGCGCCTAGTGACAGCCTCAGAAGAATTCCTGCCAACAAACCTGATCTTGTCCTTTTTGATAAATCCAATGAATTTATTTATATCATTGAATTTTCTGTCCCTTTTGACAGCAATGTGATTGACAAGATTCAGGCAAAGCATGATAAATATGCGGACCTCGCCTTTGAAATGTCTCGCTTGCATCCCAAGTACACTGTCGTCAGGCTCCCCATTGTTCTCGGTGCCGTTGGTTTGGTACCTCCTGATATCTTGGCACAGATCAGGAGAGTGCCCGGGTTCTCCACCTGGAGAACAGCCCTTCTGACACTCTGGGTAATGCAGAAGGCCGCAGTGTTGGGGAGCCTTCATATTCTCTGGAAAATTCTTGGTAGGTTCGACTAGGCAGTGTTTCCTGGGAGAAGTCCCATTCCCTGTCTGGGCTGCGTGTAGAGGGGCCGAGGGCTCTGAGCTGATGATGAGCCTCACAAACCTGACTGTGCCAGGATCACCCGAACCCTCTCTGCTGCATTTTCATCTTTAATCTGTAAAACATAACAAAAAAACCAAAATGTATTTATGAATCACAATCACATAATGATGATATCAGGTGTTCGCGAAAAGATGAGCGTATCCCGTCTCACCCATCGGCACCCATCAGGAACACATGCAAAGGCTCGTCAGAAGTTCACCTGAACGTAATCGGGAACGTATATAGTACAAGTCACAATAAGGAATTGCATCGGACATCATTCTTAGCACTGATGCACCAGTTTGGGAAATTACCTCTACATGCCTGCTATGAAATATTCGTGTTGCGGTCAAATACAGGTTCCACAACACTAAATGAGAAACACGTGCTCCCTGAGAGAGAACCGTACGTAAACAGTTGAAGAGACAGAGATATTTGACAGCTGTGATTGCATGAAATTGCATAATATTTTTATGTTTTTTTAAAGCACATCCATCCAGCAATTAAAACTGGCCACAATTTTACGTATTTACTGCTGTCATTTTTATCAACATGACTTATGCTTATTGTGTGTACAGATAATTTCCAGTAGGTGACATTTGGTGTTGAACTTGGGTTGATGGGTTCAGCTTCCTTAGCGGGATAAGTTAGCCGGAATTTGTGTTTCGGCAGCTTAGATGATTTAAAAAAAAATAAAACGTTACTATAGAACTCTATGGGAAAACATCTGGTGTTGTGTAACCTGCAATGTTAGATTGCAGATTGAGGCTCACAGTGTCAGTTGATGTTGTTGTGTCAACATGTCGTCGAAATGTGTTTTGAACCACTAGAAAGTAACACTGAATGTAAGGAAAACAATGTGTCAATCAGATCAACGACTTTGTCAGAGAATGGACGTTTGTATAACATACAGATATTGAAGGAAGAAAAGTCTAAACTTTGTAACAAAAGTGTGTTATTGAAGATTTGTTGAAGAGTAATGCTGAATTGTCATATATGCAGGAACATTATGCTAGATGGAAGGATAAATATTGTGCTTTTCTTCAGTCATATGATTCATATTGTGACATGTTTACACCAGAATTTGTTGATGCAGATGTTCAGTCATGGTGTGCTTAAAAAGGACAGTATGTTTCGTAAGTTTTGGGCTGAGATTTAAGTGTGGATTGAAGACAATTTGTAGAGCCTTGGACATGTTGAAAAGGTTAGTGTAGCATGTAGTGCTCGGTCACAGAAGTCTGAGGCCAGGAAATCCTCAAGACTGCATTCTTAAGATTCAGTTAGTAGTGTGTCATCTGCAAGAATAAAGATGGTAGCCAAACTGGCAGAGTTAAAGTCACGTTCCCAGTGTATTTAACAGAGACGTGTCTTGGAAGAGGAAGAACAATGTCTAAAACAGAAGAAAGAAAAGTTAGAGATGGAGACAGAATTGGCAGTTGCTAATTCTCAGGTCGATGCACTTGAAGAATTGGAGATTACAATCTGAGTAAAATTAATCGCAACAAGCAGTTTAACATGTTTAAGAGTGGTAATTCTATTCCTCCATCAGCACCATGTCTCAATAGCCATACCTTTGTACGTAAATATGCATCAGACACAAGTGTTTGAAGAAGTTCCACAGAATACAGAAAATGCCACCATGAAGATGGTCAGTGAGAGCCAGATATTAGCTGCATTGCCAGAACCTAAAGTTCCTGTGTCCAGAGGAGATGCTTTGGAATATGACATTCTTCATGGCATTTAAACATTGCATAGAAAGTAAGACAGATGGTTTCAAAGATACACTGTATTATCTGAAACAGTTTACTGGTGGGATGTCAGGGCAATTGGTGCGAAGTTGTATTCACATGGATCCCGAGCGAGGCTACATGAGAGCTAAACAGCTGCTTCAGACAAGGTTTGGAAACAAGTTTGAAGTAGCTACAGCATACACAGAGAAAGCTCAACAATGGCCGCATATAAAAGCTGAAGACAGGGATGAACTGAACAGATATTTATAGTATCTGCTAGACTGTTTCAACAGTATGGCAGACATTGAGAGATCTTGAACCCCCCCCAAAACATGAAATCTTTTTTTTCCAAGATACTTTACAAGATGCGGGACAGATGGCGTAGCCTTGTGTTTACCATTCAGGAAAAAAGGGTCGGAAAGGTAACTTTCCAAGATCTAGCTAGCTTTGTTGAGGAACAGGCGCAGATATTAGCAGATTCGTTCTATGGGAACATTGAGGATGGAAAACAAGCGCCACCAGGAGTTAACAGACAGAGACAAGACAAGATGAAAGGAACCAGAGGGAGTAACATAATTTGCTTTGTCGAAACATCAGAAAGAACCATTGTTGACAAGATGAACGATAGAGACTTTCAAGTGCCTTTTGTGGGGAACAGCATGTTTTGAGCTCGTGTAGAAAACTGAGAAATAAGCCAAACGCTGAAAAGCTTGACTTTCTTAAATCAAAATCTGTGTGCTTTGGATGTTTATCTCCAGGGCATTTGAGAAAACATTGTAACAACAGACTGAAATGCAATGTGTGTGAACGCATGCATGCAACAGTTTTATGACAAAGACAGTGTTGCATTCAAGGTTAATGCTAAAGACACTAAAACCGATGTGAAGGTTGTTTGCAATAATTGTGTGAGCATGTGTGAAGGTGTAACATATGGTTGTGGTACTGGAACAAGTGGCTCTTTGCCTATTGTGCCTGTCAGGGTGATGCTGGAGAATAGTGATAGGTGTTATGAAGCCCATGCGTTCTTTGATTATGGAAGCTCTGCTTTATTTTGTACAGAAGGTCTGATGATAGATTTAGGTGTAGAGAGTAAGAACAGTCAGATTATGTTGCTGACTATGAGTCAGAAAAGTTAAGTTCAGTGATATACAGTGACATGGTTGGTAGTGACAGATTTGAAAGGTGAAAACTGTGTAAAGTTACTCAGAAGGTGATTCCAGTCAACAGAAAAGATGCATTTGATTGTAAAGCTTGGGTAAGTGGTCTTAGAGGAAGTTAAATTCCCACAGATTGATGCTGAAGTACAGTTGTTGATAGGAGGTAATGTTCCCATTGCTCTAGAACCATGGCAGATCATAAACTCTCAGCAAGGTTGACCTTATGCAGCACGGACTCTTTTGGGGTGGATTGTCAGTGGTGAATGTGACAATATTGATGAGTGTCTGACAAGAGTATCAGTGAAGAGAATTAGTGTATTGGAAAATTTAGAAAACCAGCTAGTCAGCCAGTACAACCAAGACTTGTAGATGACAAGCCAGAGATGTCTAAGAATGACTAGCTGTTTATGGACATTATGAACTCTGATGAGCTTGTTGGTGGACGTTATGAAATCCCTTTGCCATATAAGTAGTCATCTGAAACTTTACCTAGCAACAGGCCATAAGCAAAATACAGGGCAGAGCAATTAAAAAAGAAGTTTCAGCGAAGTGAATCTTTTCACAAGGACTATACAGCATTCATGAATGATTTGTTGAAGAAGGGTTATGCAAAGAATGTATTGACAGACGACAGTCATCGTACAGAGAAGAGATGGTTGATGCAGAGACTTCGGTTATTCAGTTTTGTACAGAGACTTACATTTGCTAATGTAATTTACATACTTGAGAATTCCAAGGCTGGACTTTGTAAGGCAAGAAAGCTGTACGAACTTGATCCCAATTTAGATGATAATCTGATGAAGGGTCGTCGACGGCTTGACAGAGCCTGTATGTCTGAACATACCAAACATCCAGTGATACTGCCTAATTAAGGAGAGCAATATTTCAGAAATGATAGTTAGGAATATCCATGAATCTTCAGGACATGTTGGCAGAAATCATGAATTGTACAAGTTACTTAGTAAGTCCTGGATTCTTAGAGCTACCACTTTAAACAGGAGAGTGATTCACAGATGTGTTACATGTGGAAGACATCATGCATGCTAGTGTTCTAGAACAAAAGATATTTACATAGGGTCATACTGTCCCGGCTGATCTTCCCAGAGATCATGTTACCCCTAATGATCCTCCATTCGCGTTTGTATGAGCAGATTATTTTGGTCCTTTTGAAGTTAAGCGTGGTCGTGCCTTGGTCAAAAGGTGTAGAGTAATTTTCACTGTTTGACTACACGTGCAGTTCATATTGAGGTTGCGCACTCACTTGATACAAGAGTTCATGTCAACGCCTTGAGAAGATTTGTAGCAGGGAAGGGTCAGGTTCAACAAATAAGAGCAGATAATGGTACCAATCTGAAAGGCCACAGA